TCATCGGTTCATGTGATTTTATTTCTTGGATACGCAATAATTGAAACTTCTCCGTTACCAATTGGAGAATTATCGGAAGGTGCGCAGGAAGCAAGAATTAAAGATATCAGATATGATCGTGAAATTTTTTCCAGGAAATAATCACCTACGAAAACCATGCAAGATGTCTTTTATAGTCTTCTGATATCTTCAGATCCAGTGATTTCAAGTTTACAAGACAATAAATCGGCGAAGGTAAAACAGCAGCCACCCGAGATTTTCTAATTTCTCCAACCTTTGAAAATGTTTAATAATCATAATGTTCAATAAATAAGCATTACCATGTGAACTCAATTTTGCAACAAATTTGTGCACCTAAAACCTCACTTCATATTTTTTGATGAAACTGCTTAATTTTCAAATATACGATTCAATATAGTGGGTCTGTGATTTTGATTTTCCCCCCAATTTTCACATCAAATTTGTAATTAGCAACTCTGAAAATCCCTAAATACACACATCCACAGGAATATACTTTACTTTCAAGTATTTGATCCACCATATTGGATCAGTAATTTTGGATTTTCTAATTTGAACATAAAATTTGTCATCAGCAACTAAAAAATCGTAACATACACATTTTCGTAGGTTATGTCCCTGCGCCTTGATTTCAATGTTTTCAAGTTTTTTTTTATAGATATTGGTATTCTGATAAATTTGTCATCATTTAAGTTTCTAAACTTCATTAACGCCAGAAACAGTATATTAATATCCCAGAAGAACTACATTTCAGTGCAATGGAGGTAAAGGGCGTTATGTCTATTTTTGCTGACATTGAATTTTATAACTCTTATTTCGATGCAATTGGCTTCTTGGAGGTATTGGGAACTATGCCCAAATTGTATTAATCACAAAGTTAACAAAAGTCAAAGCAACGCCATGTTCATATACTTACAGAGGAATACATATTTTCACTGCTCTTCAGGAAATTTAAGTAAATTTGACATAGAGCTCTTTACCTCCGAGATCCACATGGATCACTAGTGTGTGTATTGATTCCATTCCTCAGAAATTATGTCAAGAACGCGTTCGATAAAATGTAGCCATTCAATACACAACAACGGTAAAAAACTAGTAGAGATAGATTGATTGGTAGTATTTCCGAGCGCATTAACTACTGATGTCATTAGTCCCGTAACTGTATTGCATGTTTTTTTTCGTTGGGAGGTGGGAGTGATCTTCCTCCACTGGATGGCGAGATCCGGCGCCGACCTACGTCAACTAGCAGGGTCTCCCTCAACCAGCCATCTCCCACCAGCGGGGCACCGCTCCAGCGGGAACAGCTCTAAGCTCCCGACCGGTCTCCCGGCATATGTGATAGTGTATGTAAGTGAAAGTGTAAGTGAAGGGGTGAGGATAGGACAAGGAATGGGAGGGAATAATAGTGCTAAGTCCGTGGCCCGTTTATTAGGGTACCGCTCCCGCATTCATCTGGTGTTAATTGGATAAATCACGGAAAACTACCGATCAGAGCAGCCGGCACCTGCAATTCTCCCCCAGACAGCAACTGAACTCCACCTAGCTGATAAGCTAGTGTCGAAAATCTTGCCGCTGTCGGGACTCGAACTGCACTGCAGCGACATCAGTGGATGTACCGAGCCACCTCTCTCGGTAACTAATAGATCTAAAAGAGCTTTCTGGCATTATTTCAAACTATTGTAATTTTCGAGTTCAACAAAATCGTTCTTACACAATTTCAATTAGCAAACTTCGTATTATCCGAGAAAAAAAATTGTGCAGTTTTTGAGAAAATCGTGAATTTTAAAATTGCTTTTGCTGCAAGCAGATTTAGGCGAAAACTACTCATATATTGATAACATTGTACTTGACCTAATTAAGATCTATTTTTAATGAATAGATTTGGTAATTACGAAAGAAATTTCTATCTTCAATATTGAAGTTGTAGCAAGACGCTAAAAATTGTTTAAATTTTGCTGATTCAGAGAATTCAACGAAAGTAGGATCGAGTGCTATTTTTTTATAGACGTGCTTTTTTCTCTATTACAAGAAAAAAAGTGGAGCAATTTTTGAAAATAAAGATTGAAAATGTCATTGGAGGTTCTTGTAAATGAACTAAACATCATGACCTTCATGCCACTTTTATATATTCTTTTCTTTAAATTACACAAATGTACTTTTTATATCTCGCACGCTGTTAACGCGGTTAACAACATCGTTAATATTCCCAGCGATTTGTATACATTATTACATTAGTGTGTACTTCAAATGATTTCCAATGAAGTTTCTCGAAAATTATAAAGGTTTTCGAAAACGAGCTTTAAATTTCGCATTTACAGTAAAGCTTAAAAGTTTTCTTAAAAAGGCTCCAAATTTTCCAATAAAAATTTTTATTTGAGACGAAGTTTTTCTTTTTTATAATATTATTAAAATCCTACCATTATAAAACCGACAAATTGAAGAAAGAAAAAAAGAAAATTAGAAATAATGTACTTTGTGCGGCGATAGATGGCAGCTGACAAGAGGATGTCGCAATGCCGAAAAGCTAGCCCAGAACAAAGAAAATTTAAAAAAACTAACTACTACGAGAAAATATCTGCCATACTGTAGCTCCACTAGTTTACATATGAAGATTACCTGCTTTAGGTCAATTTCAGTTATGCATGTTTTCAATGCTTTTCAGTGACGACTTAGAACCCTCGTCCATCTACTCAGTGTAAGATCAGGACATAAAATAGACATAAAATTCGGCACCTTGTGAAGAACAAAGACGCGCGGAAAACCTGCGAATGTGCAGTATGTTAGCTGTGAACTGCGGGGCTATGGAAGTAAAACAAATTATTATTTTATTGGTATGCAGAAAATAAAAACTAAATTGACGCTACACAATACTTAGCAAAAAAATTACTCCATTTCAGGCGAACGAAATATTTCCCAAGGTAGCGATTGGTATGAAAGTACCTCTAACATTTTGAAAACATAGATCGATGCACTCTCATGTATGAAAGCAATGGTCATATTGTTTTGGAAAATAATTTAATACACACCTTTTTCTACATTCGTGGGCAACCCGAAATTTGTGACCACTGTGGTTATGCTCCATTTTTTTTTCTGCGAGAAAACTTTTCCCAACATTTGGAGCAATGTCGACTAAATGAAAAGGAATAATATTTTCCTACAAATATATTAATCCTTTTATACATTTTTTAGCTTCACCGCAGCTGATAATTAATTACTGGTTGTAAACATTATTTTCTTTTAAAAACAAAAACGTGTTTTATATAAACCAATAACTAATAATGTCAGCTGAAGTAGAGAATTCTGTGCCAGATGAGAGGGCAATCAAAGATGTTTGTGCGTGTGTGCGAGAGAGAAAGGGAGGGAGCTATGGCCCTACCCTTCAAACATTTTTTTTATTTACTCAATTTAATCAAAATTATTAACATATATAGATCTCATCATATCCAACGCGATACTCACATTACAAAGATACTCGTACTTTTTTCCTTTAAGCTAACAAAGAAAATAATAGACGACTTCAAAAATATTTATGGAAGGTTCCAACTTATATTGCCTCCCTCCTGAAATACTTTCTGAATGAGCCCATCATATCTTAATATGTATACTCGTACGTGGTACATTGCTGTCTTTGTTAAATATTCGAGAGTACGCTTTACTAAGAAGCAATGTAAGATTCTCCAAACATCAGTATACAGTGAACTTTAGTCTATTCGATATTTCTTATACATTTATTACTTGTCTACTTATTTACATTACACTTTTTTCTTTATAACCGTTTAAATTGTTATATTATTTGTTTATAAAAATAACAGTTCCGTCAATAACTTAACAATTGTGGCCATTATAAAACTTCCTTGGCGTGCAAAAGATCGAGAAACTCCCACCTACGTAGTATTCCTTCCGATGTCCATATATATCTCTAAGACATCCAAAGAGACTCGCCACACAATACAGCGAACACATTCTCTGAGTTTACACCCTCGCATTCCTTTTCTACGCGCACCGACGGCGGACAGAAGCCGGTGCCGAGGGCACAGGTGGTCCCACGGACCCACCCATCCGCGACGAGCGGCCAGCGCACCCTCCTCCTCCTCCTCCTCTTGGTCGAGGGTAGGGAGAGTCGAGGTAGACTCAGCTTGGCGCAGCAATTTGGACATTCCCCGAATCCGGCATTGCCGCACTGCCCTGGCGGTCGCGCGCCCATCCCCGCCCACTGACAACTTTCGCAAGCACCGCCGTCGGACGCGACGGTAGTGGCGGGATGCAAACACAGCCCACGCGGACGGGCAGCTTGCGTTTACTTCGCCCGCCGTCACACAACCCTATCGCGCTCCTATTCAGAGCGACGAATTCTCGCTTCGCGGCGCGGCCTCCCTTGTCTGCCCGTTGCTCTTGCGGTGCGCCAACGGGTGCGCCCGGAGGGAGGGACTGACGCGAGATAGGGAAACTCCTGCGCGAGTGACACGTGCGAGGGAGGCGGAGGGCGCACTGGTGGTCGCGGTGACGATGTCGACCATCCGACGGCATCTCGCGGCGAGTCCTTTTGTTTACGCACACGCAAGCACGTGCGCCTTTGGACGGACAGAGACACAGTCAATCAGTCAAACACAGAACGAAACCTGCTAAGCGAGCTTAGCACGCGATGTTCGCGCTCTGGGGGTACAAAGAAGGCGAAATAAACAGAGCGTAGGAGGGTGGGAAGTCCACACACACAAAACCTGCCGTATTTCTCAACTTTCTGAGGAAACAAAGCGTCAGGCAATTTTTTGAAATGTATGAGTCAACAGGCGTTTGGCATTCGTATGACATACGAGTTACATATTCTCTGAAATTCACAAATCCTCGTGTTTTTCTTCACAGTCCTCAATTCTAAATCAATAATCAAAGGATATAAAAAATGTATAATTAAGTATTCAAGACCTATGAGGAAAAGGAAAAACAATGTGTGAAAAAATTCCTTGCCCAAAATATATTTTACTTACCCAAAACATCACGTTAAATCCAAAGATAACATATTTCAAACAGCAACTAACTTCACTTGTGTCTCTTCTATATTTCCGAACAGGCATTTTGACAACATTTAGAACACAAACCTCACCCGAAAAATTAAAATAAAATCAGCTGTTTACTTTTGACTCTGTTATCGTAGCCATCACTTCACACATTCACAAAGTACTCGCACAGAACGTTCGCACGACCAGCGCCAACAAAATGAAGCAGACAACTGACTGATTCTGCTGGTGTCCGTGACAGGAGCAGCTGGCAGCACCATCCAAATATGGCGGTCGTTTCTAACACGTCGTATGGAAAGATAGTTCACTTCACTTGTTTTGCTCCTGTAGTCCAGCTGTAGTCTGAGGGAATTACTAAACAAAAGTAGTGTACTGTGTCGTACAATTAGAAGTATCATATTACGGTCATTTGTAATTTTATATCTCAAAAACTCGATAAATTATCAGGTATAAATTACTTTACTAAATTAATGGTTTTCTCTTGCATTGAAATTCTCTGCTCTTGTTAAGAAGATGGAATTCAGTAGACAGTTGTTACATCGTTTGCAGGTAAATTAAATTGATAATTTTGATATCAGTATTATACAGCTACAATATTGTACTGTGTGATATATATTGTTTCACAGTATTTATGCACGTCGTAGAAATAAATGAACTGCTAGACAGATAGGTTCGGGAAATGAAATGTTTTAGGTTATGTTTATATTAGTATTCGTTTCAGCAGTATGTAATCTTACTGTAAGTTCACGCTATATTCTACTGTTTCAGCTGACACTTGCTGGCCAGTTGGCTCTCGTCAGATCCTTTCATGTGACACCAGCATGTCAGAAAGTGCAAGCAGGGCGTTACAGGATCACCACAAAACGTAACAAACCATTAACCTATGAAATGTCCAATCCTCCTCACCAAATTGCTCACAGAAAATCGTGGAACTCCTGGAATACTGGTAAGTCGATTGACATGAGCAAACTAATCTAGAAATGTGGTAAATGAAATATGCTAAATTTTAGTTGTCTTAAGAAAATATTTGTAGTTTACTAAAATTTGACCCTTTTACTTTCAGCTAATATTCTTGGAGGTGTACGCCCTGCAGAAACTACAATTGAAGATCTATTTATTCGTAAATTTATGACTGGTACTTGGCATAATTTATTTTTATCTGAAGTAATCATCAAAAGGCAACACAATATGATTCGAATTGCAGGATTGGTAAAACAAGCAATCTCTGCTCGTAAAATGTATTTTTTGATAGGGTTCACAGAAGAAATATTAAGTTGTTGGCTCCAATGTCCAGTTAAACTTGAATTACAGACTGTTGAAGATCCAAAGGATGCCATTTTCAAATATATATAATTTTGTTTTGAATTGTACATAGATAATAGTAGTTAAATAAATAAACAAAAAGTATTTTACACAAATTCTAAATTTCAGTATCCTGTTCCTTTACTTAAACAGTTGCATACCAATGCCATTTATGGTATCAAAGATTTACAGCACTCTTGAAAAAACTAAAATATGCTAAAGGAAATTTATGTAATTGAGATGCTAAATATATTTAGCTATATTTTACTATCATTTTCAGTAAGCTTGTTACAATGTTTTCAGTTTCAGACGTATCGTAAAGGCCCTTTTAATTTCAGCAAATATTCTTGGAGGTGTACGCCCTGCAGAAACTGTAATTGAAGACCTATTTATTTGTAAATTTATGTGTGGTACTTGGTATCATTTATTTTTATTCAAAGTAATCATCAAAAGGCCACAAAATATAATCAAAATTGCTGGATTAGTAAAACAAGCAATATCTGCTCGTAAAATGCATTTCATTTTATAATAACATAACAAGCCAAACTCAATATATAATTAAACAATATTATATGTAATATTATTTATGAATTAATTTACTAATTCATACAATTTTAGTTAATATTATTCATGAATTCTAATCCATTGCACTTTCATGGTCTCTTTGGTTCCTGTAAATTTGTATTAAAGATTGTGGTTTGATCATGGATCTAGTACAATCCGGTAATTACTCTACTTGGCAAGTACTGTGTTAAAAAGTTGTTAAATACTGGAATATGAATGAATGACAAAATAATTCAGTAATTCTCAGAAATATTTTTAAGAAATGTTATTAAAATAATTTTCATGATAATGATAATCCTTGTTTTTATATTGTAGTAAGTTACTTCCCCAACA